GTGAGACTGTGGAAATTGAAGGCCAAAATATATTAAAAATAATGATGAGCTTTATCAAAAGAATTAAAAAAAATTCCGAAGTGCTACTTACGTAGCTAATTCCTCTTGTCCGAATATACACTTATCTGAGGCAAAGGACTCTAACTCTTGGTTTGCATAAAGGATTGTTGGCCATCCAGTGAGTATCCAAGTCCTACGATCCTTGCTTGGTTCGGTAGAGCTATCATTATCCAAGGATGACATAAAGTCACTTACGTGACACGCGGGAGACTTATTTGAGGGAGATGAGTCGATAGATAACAAGTGCCTTTTGTCAGCATCAGCTCTAATTGATGACAAACAGCTTTTTCTAGAAGGTTTGTGTAAAGAGAATTCTGAGCTACTAGAAACTGATGTTTCGATAGCAACAAATGGAGTCTCTATTAGGTCACCACAACCCAATACTGATGAGCAATAATCTTCAGATAAACTAATATGAAACCATCCGGTGAATTGAGGCATAATAGAAGTATAATGAATCGAAGAATAAAGCATCTGTTGCAGTCGTGTTCGTGGCCTTGCCAAAGGAACCCAGGCTGGCTGGACGCGAGAGGTGAGTAGAACGGAAGAGTAAGCAGCGAGGGAAGGGTCTTTGGAGGCCAATTCACAAGAGGCGTTCAAGAGACACATGGCAGAGTCGAAGTCAAAACTAAATGTTAAAAGTGAAGAGAAAGAGTGAAGCATTAAATACATATAGAAAAATTACAGATGCTTGTGTATTATGTATATAAATTTGATGAAAAAAAAAAAATCCTACATATTCATTATCAAAGGCAAAATGGCAAACTGTTGGGATTGGTTTCAGGGCCACCTTTCAGCTTATTTGTAGACTTTTAATTTAATGGAATAGTAAGCTTTATATAGATGTTTATTTTATGTAAAGCTTTTTGTTCTTAAATATGAATAAACGCAGAACTACACGCAAATAGACGGATAGACAGATAAAAGATGTGAAAATAGACCAAACAAAACATGAAATACTCTTTTAAAATAGGGAGTAGGTAGTTATATTCTATTTGCCTTCCTGATTTAGAATGCTAAGAATTATAGCGTTGGTTGGTCTTCATATTTACGAGCTAAGAAATATGCTTGGCTATGGCATGGCAGACGAAAGTTAAGCAAGTTTTCGATGGTCATATCACAGAAGATAAAATAGATTCCAGTCTTTTAAAGTGAAGGTTAGCTCAATAATTAATTATAAAGGGATAATTTATCGTAGATATGAGGACGAAGGTAATGTGGCCTTATGTTTGGTCGCAGTCTACTTTAGGTTTATACTGTTGGTTCGATCTTGCTTTCGCAACTTGGTCAGAGCGTCAGGAAGACCCTGTGGAACGCACCTAGTCTCGTGTCCTCTGCCATAGTATTCGTGATTTCAAGTAGGTCAGGAGCCCTGCAAACGGCATCTGGTACAGGTAGTGGAGATGATTACGCTTTACTAAATAAACACTTGTAGTGACAATCTTAGGCGACATTGGAAGAAACGAGAGGACAGGATTGTGTGAATAAGTGGATGGGCCATATGAAGAGGGGTTGAGATTAATAGATACTGCAATAGAAGGTATAAGAAAAAATGGGGGCGAGGAGTTATGTCACAACGGTTGAATATAGAATTGGTCAAGGGGATTGCTTTCACCTGTCACTTTGATAAATTGTAACTCTAGCTTACGATGGCGCCTCTCACTGACTATTCAGGCGAAACGTTTGGGAATGTACCCATCCAATGATTCAATGGTGAAAATCACGAATACTATGGCAGAGGACGCGAGATCAGGTACGTTCCACAAGGTCTCC